CTGGAGCATTAGTGACAGCCTTTAGTAGCTGTGGTTGTGTTTATTTTTTCAGGTACTGACTGCAACAACCCACTTCTAAGACCAGAATATGAGCCAGCTAGAAAACAAGGTAAACAGCAGTGCTGAAAGAGGCAGAAGTTTTGTGCATCTGCTGATGCCWCAGACTACAAATAACATGTAATTCACTAACACAGCAGCTGAAGCAACAGGAACATATTAAGAGATTAGTGATAAACATTCATGAAAAAAAGATTCATCCCCCGATATATTRCTTAGGTGAGAGGTTTTTCCTCCTTTTTAAAAGAAGGGGATAGATCTAATGAAATTTCAACAGAACACTTTTTTGCTTTTCTACAACACTATAACTTCAGTGAAATTTGATGAGAAAAGGATCACATTCTTTGCAGCATATAATACAGAAAAGCTGGATGCTGACCTGACATTTATAAGCAATTGCAGGAGCTAGACATGCATAAGAGTGTCAAGATATGAGAAATGTTATGGGGACCTTCTAATCCACAGGCTATGCGTATTTCCTGGGCCTAGTCAGGGAACAGCAATCATTGTCACAAGCTCACAATCATGAGCTCCCAGTSTGAGACAAACCACATTATGAAGGATTATCAGAAAAGAAAACAAAACACATCATATGGGTCTAGTTTAGACGTGTGATAAGAATACTGAAGATACGAGACACAAAAAAATTGTTGTTCTAATTACTGTTTACTTATTAAGAGTTAGCACATGAGCTAATTCTTATTCTTCCTATCCCTTAGAAAAGAAAAAGTGGGAAAAAAGAAAAAGAAAACTGCCACCTACCTCTTTTGGAAGAGAAGTAAAAAATTAGGAATGGCTATGCGTCTGAGTGTGGATAAGGAAAAAAAAAAAAAAAAAAAAAAAAAAAAAGAGAAGGAAACTCCTGGACAATAATTTCAAAAGCTGTCAAAATGACTGGTATTTTTAAAATCTGCATGTTCAAGCTCAGAAAAAGAATAACATTGTCTCAGTGCAACAGTGTTGTTATCTCCTTTGATGAACAAAGCAGCGATGGATTTCTTTTTAACTTGATTGCAACAAAGTGACATTCTTTTTGAAAAAGTATGACAAGAGTGATTTAAATTAAATTAAAAAAATGAAGTTTTTAAAATTTAGTGCTTACTTCATCAATAATCATCAATACTGATACTTCTCTTGATGAGAATAAGATGTGTCCATATGTTTATTCAGTATAGGAAAATAGTAATTTATTCAGTGGCCATTTCTCATGGTAAAGAATAATCTAAAAACTCATCATATTCAGTTCAGCTTTCTGACACTTTGGCAAGTTTAGGCATATTGCATTTGGCTCACATCATATTTACACCAAGAAAACAATACTGATATTTAGATGGTACAGAAAGTAAGAGCTGTGTCAGGCAAATGTGCTGTCAGATTTCATCCACCAGAGGTAAAGTGAGCTCTGCCTCGTACACCATTTGCTACATGTATCGACTGCTGATGAAAGGTTGCCTTAAGATCAGCCTTTTGGAGCATGTAGGCTGGAATTCTCCAAAGTCCACATGAAAGACATGAAGATATCACTAAATACGAGGCTCATACTTTCTGAAACATCTGTTGGCCAGATCTTTCATGTCATGTGGGACAGCCTGTTTGACATTGTACAATCACACAGACACAAAACACTACATGTCTTTGGCAATGTAGGGGAGCTGATATGAATACAAGAAGGTATCAGCAACGGTTCAGGTATTGTTAGAAAGATAAAGACCTTTGCTCTAGCCTGATCATATGCAATCCATTTTTCACATGACATGGAATTAAACTTACACTAAAAATATACTATTATTCAGTGGGCATAAATGAAGTGAAGATCTTTGTGTCAAAGACTAGAATTCCCCCATGCTGTTTCACAGCCTCACTTTCTAAGGAGCACTGGGTACACTGAGTTTATGATAAAGATACTAAACACTTTTTTCATGAAGACTAATGACTTATTGCACTGTGGTATTTACAAATGGCTAAAATAGGTGTTTGCATTATAGTGATTTTGTAGAATGTTAGATAATAGAGAATTAAATCATTGTGACTGAAGTCTACATAACAGTATAAGAAAAACCTAAGCAATGACCACAACACAAAATAGTGAACTATTCAAAAAGCATTTAGAAAAGATTTAATACATTTTTATCAGTTTGCAGTAAGGAAAGGGTTTCCTGCCCTTCCCTCTCCCTATACAACAGTGAAATCCGCAGTACAAAATGGTGTCCAAATATTTTTGTCTTCCTTCAAACCCTAGCATATGGGATCTCTCAGCCTACCAATATGTACTCCTCCCTACACACTTGCTTGAGACACAACATATAGCCACTGATGACATGTGTCATTATTTGGCTCTGCTTCAGCACTTTGCCGTAAAACATTGAGACCAGAAAGGAAGGAACAGGAAGAACAGACTGTTCCAAGTTCCTGCTGCTTGTTTCTCCAGAAGCAGGAAGTCCACATGATTTGRTATTACCCAACTGCAACGAATGAAACAGCTACAGACACATGGAAACCAATCTAGTACTGAGTAGCTAGTCTGTGCTAAACAGAGCAGAATGTATGCCCAGTTACACCAAACATTTCTTACAATCAAACTCTTCAGCACAGACAAGACACACATTTTAACAAAAGAAAAAAAAAAACATGACAAATATTGCAGGGTATAATTCTAGTTACAGTCATCAATGTTGAACATTGAAATATCCACTCACTGGATAAATAATAATATCCTTCACATTGTAAATGTATCATATACAGGGGTCTGTAGAAAAGAGATGTTGTTATATTTTTCATCACAAGAAGCAACTTATCTGACACCAGTTCAGCYTTTGAGCCTGCTATGCGAATTAAAAAATCAGCTTGTGGTTCACCTGTAAGCATCTGAATCCAAACACTTCCCAAAAATTTCTCCCTAAACCCATGTTTTATTTCATTCTGATAAACACAATAAAAATTCAGGTTAAGCAAAAAGAAATGGCAACACCAGGGGGTGATACAGTACAAATCCCTTTGAAATGAGCTGGGATGATTTTTCCTCCCTTCTCCACCCCTTCCTTTTCTCCCTGGCCTCAGGAACACTTGCCCAAATTGTTTTGTTGACAGACAGATGGAACAAAATTGTCTATGTAGTTTTYAGTTAAGCAATTAAAAGAACCCAAAAACCAAACATGACAGGGTTATTTGGGCCAGACAGAAAGAAACAAGAATGGCTCAACTGAATTACAGTATGTAAGATTGTCCTACTGGCTGAGTAATTCAAAACAGGATATTTTCCTTCTTTAATATATGAACAGATACTTCCTTCCTGTGTGAAGAAATAAAACCTTCAATGTTCTGCTTTTTATTATTTTAGAAAGAAGCCAGGGATCAGAGAACATCAACTAATGAAACAGTTTTGTATATGTATTTCAAATTAAAATGAAAAAATCCTAAAATTTAAGCCAGATCTCTATGTTTACACACACACATTTCCCATCTACCAAATGATTCTTGAGACTTCTGCCTCAAAGCTTTTGCATGCTCCTAAATGAAGAAGTAATTCTGAAAGTGTACCTTAAAATAGCTGCTGAAAAGGAGAAGAAAAAAACAAAATTACCCTAAGTCATCAACTCATTGGTAATAATTTCATAGAAAGCCCAGCTATTTTCTATGGGGAGGAGGTGGCAAAAGAAGGCTGATATCAGATGACCAAAGACCAAACAACTGTTGGCACTGCACCAGCCAACAACATACTTGGTTTCATAACTCTCTATGATCTGTACAAACATCTGATTATAAATGGGACCTAGTCCTGCCAGTAGCAGGGCTATTGCATCAATCTCCTTTGCAAAATTACAGTGGAACATTGATAAATGGCTCTTGCAAAGACACAGCAGCTGAATAAGCACATTCAGAGAGAAGGGTTCATGAAAAAAAATCTTAGTCATATCCTCTTAGGTCTCCAATGGCCACATTGCTATCAGTTTTCTTTGCTTTACCTGAAAGCATTAAAAAAAATTAAAGGTGGCCAATGAATGTGAAAAATAAGAGAAAGCAATTCTCCAGACAAAYACATAGGTAAGTCATCAACAGCTGCCTTACTACTTACTATGCACACTGTGTCTAGTACTTCCCATGGAGGCTGTCATTTGAGGCCAAAAAGATAAAATGTCTTTAAAGATTTTTTTCTTGTTTACTGAATGGCAATATTGATCCCTTAGATGTTTTCATTTTTTACCTAAGTATAGCTAAATTCAGTTTTGAATGCAATGTCATTCCTCACATTCCTCTGAAGCCTACTTTTTTTCCTTAGAATGACCCAATTCAATSCTTTTAAAACTGAAAGAGCATCTTGAACTCTATGTAACTTGTAAAATAACTAGTAATAATTTCTGGTTATTGTGCATAACAGAGTGTGGGGTTTGGGATTTTCCCTCTGATTTAACTGTACTTCTCTTCAAAATTGACTACTGTATTTAGACTTGCAATCTTTTTAGCAYACTACTTATAAGATAATAAGCCTGCTTCAGCTCTTGTTTTGGAGATGTGTTCTTTTTACTGGAATATAACTGACATTCAATGTTGCAGTATTTTCTATATTGTTCTCATTATATCATGAAAATTAACAAAATACACATTAAAATATTACTGACACTATAATTTGTTGCTAAAATACTAAAAGGACAAAAATTTTGAAACAAAAGGAACTGTTTCCTTATTCTCATTTGATTGCGCTTTAGCTGTAAAAATAGATGGGGTTCTGCAGGTGTGACATTAATAGCACAGTAACTACGAGAGCATATCAAAGAGCAGGAAGCAATTAATCCAAGACAGATACATTTAAATCAACTATAATAAATTCTTCTTTACTTCTGGACATTCAACATGTTAATTCTAGCCTTGGTAGCACTTTCTTTTATTTCCAACACCAACATGTTTGCTTAAAAAAGTGAAGATTTTATGCAAATTACTGTGCTTACTTCAGAAAACATGAAAGCATCCACATTTATTTCTTCATATTCATCCTCCACTTCATCACTTTTAACATCTGCAAGAGCAATGGCCAGTTTCTTTCGCAAAAGAAAACCCTTCCAAAATGCCTAAACAAAAAATTTAAAGCATGTTATACATAGCCATAGATCAAACTGAAATCCAGATTCTCTATGTTATCCCATTAGGAAGATAAAACATCTTGGGCCTTTGTTTAATAGCTCGATGATCTGCTTTTTGAACTTTATGTGACATTTAAAACTACAAGATAAATTAAATGCCAGCATATGTCTAAGGCTTAGAGTACTCAAGAGGCTCTCCACAAGTAAGCAGAAAGGAATCCTGCAACTCCCTCAACTACAAACCTGGGTCAACTAATTAATTATTTGACAATTCCTTCAGGGACTATTATAAACTGAAAGGAAAGGCTACATAAGGAAAACCCAAGTGTCAACTTTCAAATTATTGAAAATAAAGATACAGTTATACTAAATGTCTTATAGTTAAGAAGTAGCAATGCTTGGAGACATCTCATGTAATTGACCTAGGTCAGTTACTCTTTCTTAATTGTCTAAGATCTTGATGTAAAAAGAAATATTACCAGCAAGCATAATCATCGCTAAGAAAAAGGAGAACATTATAAATTAAAGTGCTAGAAAACAAGGAAGGGTGTTAGGAACACATGCCAAGCATTGAATTGTATCCAGAAAAAACACTTCAGAGACCTAAATGAGATAGATGGAATTAAGAAAACTACATTCACAACAGCAATTTTTCTCCAAGTCAGTATTTGACATCATCAGAATTCGAGATGACCCAAAGAGGTTAAAAAAACATGTAAAAATTGTCACTGTCATGAAATAAGTGGTTTTGTACTCCTTTAATGGCTTTGCAATGACAGCATTAAAATAGGAGGGGTAAATCTCATATTCTGGTTTAATATTCAGATTATTAATTTTTAGAAAAAAATTATCTAACCATATAAATTATTGAAAATGTTTCTATTTTACACACATAATTCCTGATTACTATAAAATGATTAAATGTTTTAGAAGTGCTTTCTTGTAATTTCATTGTTTTTATTTTCCTACAAGCCCTCATAATCATCCAGATAAAATATCCTTATATTACTGAGTGACCGAATGACAAATACATTTCATTCCACAAAGGCAATTAGTTTTTACAGATTCAAAGGAGAAAAGCAATCCTAATGATATATGCAGAAGGCTAAAATGTAAGGCAGCTGCTAACACAGATCCATAAAAGCACCACATCAGGGCTTAACCATGATAAAAAAAAAATTACATGCTAGTTTTTAAGAAACAAGATAATTTTTTTTCTCTGTACAAACTCATTCTATAACTTTGCTAACTGTAGCAAAKGTTCAGAGAGGGACAAAAAGATATAAAGAATTACAGAGTAATGAGAAAAGAGACCAAASAAACTTTTATTTACAAAAATTGGTTGTAATGATGGATGTATGAGAGATCTGAAAATCTGTAATATGCACAGAAGATAAATACTAAAAGACTTTTATTTTCATATTCACTTTGGGAATTATCACATTTAAAACAAATGAAAGGAAGCACATATTAATCACTATATAAATTTGTTAAACTCATCACTTCAATATGTAGTAGAGGTCAAATACATTAGTAAGTTCAAAATGGATTATATAAGTTTAAGGAAATAATTGCTAATACGCTAGCTATGTATTATACTCCAATAACAAATGTTTGCCTTGAAATCACTTTGTCACTTTTGAAATTTTTATATAAGACTTACACTATGGAATGTTTCCAAGTTAACTTGAAATATGAAATCAACAGGGTTGATTTGCTTCAAAATGTAGAAAAAAACCACCATGAACTGTGGCAACTTGGCAGGTAAATACTATATCTGGTTACCAAACGAAATAGAGTCAAGGTATCGACTTCAAATCTTGCACACAGTTATCCATTCTGTTATTAGCTCAGTATCTACCATAGGACAGCCTAGGCCATGGTCCATTCCCAAGAACAATATAGATAAAGCAATCCTGGGTATTGGAAATGTGAAGAGAAGGAAAAATGAATAGGTAAAAGAGACAGGAAGATTAGTTAGCCACACAGATATCAGACATGACATATTGGTTACACTAATTAGAGTATCAGTTTCATAGCACAGACATACCGCAGCAAGAACACAGGCACAGTATCTCTTAGTCATATTAGAGTTAAATCAAGTAAGAATAATTCAGAGAAATACTTGGTGAAAAAAAAGTAAATACTTTTATGTTTCTATAAAACTTTTTGTAAAGAGGTATCTCTTTTAGAAATATCAAGCTTATGCTGATTAAACAGAACAAAAATGTTTAATTAAGAAACTATTAATAAAATAATAAGCAAAAATACATAGAAGATGACAAGTACACAAAATTAGTAAGATTATTTTCTTGGTAGACTTAMAAAATAAGTAAAGAAAACCAACCTGGATTACTGTGGCAGCTTCATGTTTTTGTCTCAAAGGTTCTGTAAAGTGATGAGTCTCTGTGCTGTTATTGTCATTTCTCCTCCGAGCACGGTACTGCCGCCAGAAGGACTGGATCAAAGATGCTGCCATGTGTAGCCTCATGGAGAAATAAATACCTTTATGACTCACAGAGCCTCACCAATACAACTGGATTATCATATCTGCCAAACTTAGCACTGCATCAAACACAGCACTGTGCTTTGAGACAAATGAAAAGCTCTGCCACTAAACAAGAAATTACAACCCAGATATGACATATATGTTCAGAAACATGGGAGGATGTTCACACCACATAACTTCAGAAACCAAATTAAGGACTAATGTCCACTGAGATGTTCTGTGAATAACCACTGCAGAGGAAGAGTCCTCAAAGGAAGGACTAGGAGCAGAAACTGTTTAAGAATGACTGAATAAACTGTTGGAGGGGTCTACTTGTTTCCACAGACCATATAAAAAAAACATTAAAAAAAAAAGAAACAAAACACCCCTGAAGAAACAAAGCGCAAGCACTAAAGAGGGATAATTTAAGGCACTGACCACTGGTCAGTTTTCTAATTTGCTCATTTTTTAACAAGTGCTATCTACAGACTATTGAGATCTGTTCAGTGATCCAGATTTCTAAATACATGTTCAACTAATGATCAATTAGTTGATCATTTATACTGATCAATAAAAAGTATAACATCAGCTCTGCATTATGACTTTACTATCTACACTTCAGAGGTCAAGACAAATACAAAAATTGGCTTGCATTTTATTCCTAAGAAAACTCCAGAAACACACAGAATTCACTTAACAAATTAGCTAAAAACTAAATGAGCTATTTCAAAAAAATTTTTGATGTATTCGTCTTCTATAATAGACAATTATATTCTTTCTTTCAGCTTGTTGAGACGTGAGCACAAATTGCATTATCCTCCTTAATAATAAATTTTATGACAAATTATTCAGGTCTTAAGCATCTATTTACCATGTTTCTATTTACCATGTCTAAACAGCTCAAAGAAGCACTCCCACCATGCTTGCTTTTCATAGTGTTCTCAAGACATGTTTTTGAAACTGAAGTCTTATAAAATTTTTACTCAATTCTTGATGATTTTTCTTGATGATTTAGTGCAAAAAATCATTTTCCCTGACTGTACATCCAAAACCATACAAATCAGAAGCAAAAACATTTCAGGGAGGTAATAAACCAGTCTGTTTCATGCAGGAGAAATTTTGGGGGGCACAGAACAAGTTGAACTGGCCTCTCAGCCCTGCCTTTACTTTTAAAAAGCAGGTTAAGGCATGTTGGAGGAGTGCCAAAAGCAGGGCAGGCCATTAGCTCTTCAGCCATCACAACAGCAGGAGACTGGTCTAAATCAAAGGAGTAAGATGGTAGATTTAAGCAATTTTTCCTCTTCTAAATGGTGGTGACTGTAAAAGTTGACACAGATGAATCTTGAATGTTTAATTAATAATTTGGCAAAAAACCCTTACACTTACTCTTACTATTTAATGTCCTCCAAAGTTTCTGCAGAACATTCAGCATTTGCATTCCTAACTCTGTATGTGTCATTGACTTGGTATCTTAACATTATTTGAAGTTCATAAATGTCTATATCTTAATACACCAACTGGGAAAATACCATAAAGGATTCTTATCTATTAATATAAAAGCCTAGTGTGCAACACCTTAATACAACTCTTCATTGTCTAATAAGTTTAAAAATCTTATCTTACAAGTTCTGTGGCTGTTTTAAACTAGAAATCGTCACTCCTATCATATCTCTGTATAATTTATTTGAAAGCAACCTGACATGCATTTTACCTTTCTGTATCATTCTCAAAGTGCTGGAGATTTCCTCCCATATCACTTGATACTATCACTGACTGCAATGTGAGCTGGCCTGWTCTGTTATTGTTGCCTTTGCTCTCCCCACTGTAATCAATACAAGATTCAGTGCTCTTCTGCTTCACTGTCTGATCTCTATTTTCCTTTTTGTGCACAGGTATGGAGGAGTTAATGAATGTGGACTGAATATCACCAGTAGTAATCCATCTTTTGGAAGGATCCAATAAGACCTGTTTATTTTCTGTCACACCCATGACAAAGAGGTTATTTTCCTGTAGGCAGCCAGTGGATGTTTGCTTTGAATGATTTTGAAGTGCTTCTGGTCCACCTCTGTCAGTAATATCTAATTCACTGTACTCATGTGCATATCGATGTTTAACACTAAGCTTCATCAGCTGATTAAAGTACCAGCATTGTCCCAGTGCAGAATCAACAGAAGAGGCAAATCTGAAAAAAAAAGACAAAAATGTTTCTACATGGCTGACTGTTAGAACGCTTAAAAAAAAAAAA